AACCCACCCTGCTGCACCCTCAAGACAGCCCTGGCCGCATCTGGCCCTGCCTGTCCCTGGCATTGCCCTGCCCACCCACCCCCAATACCTCCCCCGCATCCATAGGCCTACCCACTCACACGAGCCATCCCCCACACCGCCCTCCTAGGCCCACTGCCCCCCTACTCCCTGTCACACTCCCAGACCTGCCCCCTGCCCTGCCCCAACCTCAGCCACCCACCCCTTGCCCCGGCTCCCCTCCTCATGCCCGGCCCGACTGCCCAATTCCCTCCCTTTGCCGGGAGCCAGTTCAGCTGCCTTGTGTCTGTTCCCTGCTCTGCCCTATAGGCTGTGGCATCAATTGGGTGGTGCCATTGGTGGTACACAACTGGGCACCACCGGAAGCCCATGGCTGGACCACACAGAGTGTGTGGGGCGCATGGGGCCACGCCGGGCTCTCACCTCACGGAAGGCGTCCCGTAGCTCCTTCACCCCAATCATGTCGGCCGTCTCTGCCAGCATCTTGGGGCCCATCAGCTCCACAAAGTCATCGAAATCGACCTTCCCCCCAGCTGTGAGACATGAACGCTGTTACGCAGGATGGGGAGGGATGGGAACTGTGCCTAGTGTGGGGTCCTGGCGGGGGACTCTGCCCCATGGGAGGCGGGGGTGATGAGGGACCACGTCCTGGAGGAGAGGTGCCTGACGGAGTCTGTACCCCATGGGAGGGAAGGCCTGTGGGGTTTGTGATCCATGGGAGGGAGGTCTGATGGGGTCTCTGTCCTGGGGCAACCGATGGGGTGTGTGTGAGGGGGCGACCTCACGAGGTCTGTGACCTGCAGGAAGGGGGCCTGATGGGGTCTGTGACCCAGGGCTATACTGTGCAGGGGCTGATGGGATCTGTGACCTGCGGCGATGGGGAAGCTAACGGGATCTGTGACCTGGGGCGATGTGGGGGCTGACGGGGTCTGTGACCTGGGACTATGGGGGGTGGGGAGGCTAATGGGATTTGTGACCTGTGGTGATGGGGGAGCTAACGGGGTCTGTGACCTGGGACTATGGTGAGTGGGGGAGCTAACGGGATCTGTGACCTGGGGCGATGGGGGGGCTGACGGGGTCTGTGACCTGGGACTATGGGGGGTGGGGAGGCTAATGGGATCTGTGACCTGCGGTGATGGGGGAGCTAACGGGGTCTGTGACCTGGGACTATGGGGAGTGGGGGGGCTAACGGGATCTGTGACCTAGGGTGATGGGAGACTCGATGGGGTCTGTGACTTGCAAGAAGGGGGTCTGATGGGGTCTGTGCCCCAGGGCTATGGGGGGGCTGATGGGATCTGTGACCTGGGGCGACGGGGGGCCCAAGGGGCGCAGGGCGGTGGGCGTGTGGAGGTGGGCGGCAGGGTGGTGGGCGGGTGAGGGTGGAAGGGGACCTGACGGGGATTGTGCCAAGGGCGAGGGGTCTGCAGCTCTGCAGGGGCTGGGCCATGCCCAGCAGGGAGCTCCCTGGCAGGGGCGCTGTGCCTCCCCCAGCGGGTGGGCATGGGCACGTACTGATCTGCTGCGACAGCTCGATGAGTTCCATCTCGGTGGGCATGTAGCCCATGGTGCGCATGCACTCGCCCAGGTCCTTGTAGCTGATGTACCCGTCACGGTCCTTGTCGAATTCTCGGAAGGCTTCCTTCAGCTCTGGGCAGGGGAGACGCCGTGACAGTGTGTGGGGTGCTGGGCACCACAGGGCACCCCGACACCATAGCCTGCCCCTCAATGAGGGTGCCCCATGCACCAGCCACGGACAGGGACATGGGTCCACAGGAATCTGGGTTGAGACCCACCAAACTCGTTACATATCCCACAGTGCTCCAAGGGGGCAGGATAGTTGAAGGAGACCCCTAGAGGGGAAAGGCCCCGTGCTCCAGTCCCCGTCCCCCCTGAGCCAGCCAGTCGCCTGCCCTGGGGCTGGATCGGAGCCAGCACTGCCTAGAGGGGCACAGCCCCATGTCCCTGGGCGTGGTGGGTGGGTGCAGCACTCGCAGGTGGCTGGGGGTGGATCCCCAGCGGGGCAGGCTGGCCCCGTCCCATGGTCCCGCTCCCTCCTTTACCTTCAATCTCCTCCGGCCGCAGCTCTCGGTCCTGGGGAGGAAGGAGAATTGGGAGCGGTGAGAGGGTAGCGGCTGCTGCGGATCCTTCCCCCAGCCAGGTCCTGGCCCAGCCTGCCCAAGGGCTCCCCTGAGCTCAGCATCTGGGACCCCTCTGCTAGACCCTGGGTCCACGTCATGGGTGCCCTGGGTGGCCTCTCCGTGGCTGCACAACGCAGGTGCTGGCAGCTCCGTGGGCAGGGCTGGCATGGGGCGCTGCAGGGCAAGTGCTGGATGGAGAGTGGGGGCGTGGGTTGGAGCGGCCGGTGGAGGGGGGACGTAGGGGGAGGAACCGGCGAGGGTGAGCATACATACCTTTGAGCTGGGTGACGGGGAGGAGGTGTGGGAGCAGGGCACGGTGCAGAGGGGCAGGTTCAAGCTGTGAGGAATGTGGGATAAACTATCTGTAGGACTCTGTCCCCGCCCCTTGGCATCACTTGTTCGCTCCCTGGCCATGGGAGCTCAGGCCGGGGATTTGCGGCAGAGCCACTGGGACTGTCTGGGGGAACGGCAGACCCTGCAGAGATCAGGGGATCCCCTGTGGCAGGAAGAAGGGGCCAGGCTGGCTTCTCCAGCAGCATGGCTCAAGGAGGCTCTGGCATTGGCCAGGCTGAACCCTGGCTGCACCTTTGGCTCCCTGTGCCAACCTAAGGCCTCTAAGCCAGGTGGCCAAGGCTTCTGGGGGTCGCTGCACCCTGCAAAGCGCTGGCTCAGCTCCAACCCTGCAGGTGCTATGGAGAGAGACAGAGTGGCTGGGGCCTGCAGGCCCAGGGTCAGAGTTAAGCCATGGGAGATGGGCACAGGGCGGTGGCTGTGAGGAGGTGGGCGCAGGGCAGTGGGCATGGGGAGGTGGGTGCAGGTGGTGGGTGTGGGGAGGAGGCCACGTGGAGGTGGGCAGAGGAAGGTGGGCGCGGGGCAGTGTCCAGGTAGAAGTGGGCGAGGGGCAGTGGGTGTGGGAGGGGGCACGGGGTACGTACAAGCTGGGTGATGGTGATGCTCTGGTGCAGGAAGATGGAGGTGTGGGAGGAGGGTGCTGTGGTGGGGTGGGCGTGGGAGGTGGGCAATGGGTGGTGACTGTGTGGAAGTAGGTGCCGAGTGGTGGCCGTGGGGAGGTGGGCATGGAGCGGTGGGCAAAAGGAAGTGGGCGCGGGGCAGTGGCCGTGTAGAAGTGGGCACCAGGTGGTGGGTGTGGGGAGGTGGCCGTGTGGAGGTGGGTGCAGGGAGGGGGCCATGTGGAGGTGGGCGTGGGCCAGTGGGCGTGGGAGGGGTGCGGGTACGTACGAGCTGGGTGATGGCGATGCTCTGGTGCAGGAAGATGGAGGTGTGGGAGGTGGGCACAGGGAGGGGGCCGTGTGGAGGTGGGCATGGGGCAGTGTCCGTGTAGAAGTGGGCGCCAGGCGGTGGCTGTGGGGAGGTGGGTGCAGGCGGAGGGTGTGGGGAGGTGGCCGTGTGGAGGTAGGCGTAGGTGGTGGGCATGGGAGGTGGGCACAGGGAGGGAGCCAGGTGGAGGTGGGCGTGGGGCAGTGGGCATGGGAGGGGTGCGGGTACGTACGAGCTGGGTGATGGCGATGCTCTGGCGCAGGAAGATGCAGGCCGGCCCCACCAGCCCATGCAGCACCGAGTAGCTCTGCAGTGGCGGGGTCTGCGCGGCGGCGTCCGGGTCGTCGGGGTCGATGCCTGCCAGAGGCCGGGGAGCCTGGGGCGCCTGAGCGCTGCTTGCCGTCCTACGGCAGAGCGGGCAGTTAGCAGCGAGCGGGGCCCGCGCCTCCCCAGCCCGGCAGGCACTTGGGACCCAGATCTGGGGTGGGCTGTATTGACAAGTCATACACAGGAGAGGGGGGGATTCAGACAGACAGAGGAACATGGACGGGTCCAAGCGAGGCTCTCATATACCTCAGCCACCAGTGCCCCGCTCCCTGTACTGGCACACCCACATGGCACCAACACACCTGCTTGGCAGCCACACACCCGCATGGCACTAACACATTCACCTGGCAACCACACACCCGCATGGCAC